CCTCACTTACCTTCAGTAGGTTTCCAGAAAGACTCAAGGAGACCGAGTCTGGCGTTGCTACTACTACTAGTACTTCTAATACTATTTATAAAACCGCTTACTAGCGGTGTAGCTGGGTGATAGTGGTGCTCATACTATTACTGTCGCTAATACTTGGTTAGGAATGACACTGATTAGAGTTAGCACTAAGCTCTTATTCACTCGACCTCAACTAGGAGTTGGGACATCGATTTATGCCATTTCGAGTAAAGTGGATGTTTGGGACTCGGAGCACATCAATGCTTGCCGTGGTTTTTACCCCTCTACCCCTATTCACTAAAACTGTGTTTCCTTAAGGTAAGATTACAAAGGCTATGATACTGCTGCTAGAAGTAGTATGCCAATGTCAGGAGTGCTTATTTTAGTAATCATTATTTCTAAAACCACTAATAAGTATATTTCAATGTTCCCTGCATGTGCATGTAGGAAATGTGAACCTAGTATGCAGTTGTAGCCTAGATCAGGATTATAGTAAACTGAAGGGTTACCGAAACCCACTAGGCACGCAGGAGAATTAACCAGTAAGCTAAATTTATTCAGGAATGTCTCCCGATTCTGGATAGATAAAACCAGCTCCGTGTACAAGAAATAGTCTGTTTTATATAGAATGGAAAATACACTTGGACCGACTATTACCAAGGGTTCTCTTTGCAGGGAAAATGGGCTACTGGAATGTTCGTGTCTGATTTAGATACGTATCACCTGTATGACTGCCTAAACTGAAAATGGCAGTAGAAATGCGAAAAGTGCGATTTTCAATAAACTGTTCAAAGTGCAAAAAAGCCTGCCGGCTCTAATACCGAATTCAGCCCTGTAATATGCCACAACCTGTTACTGCGTTGGTGTCACCACATTTGACGTCAGCGTTTTGGGTAAACAAATACAGAACGCTAGGTAGTTGAAACCAGTGTTGGTGGTCAGAACTGAACTTTAGTATGCCGAATTAGGTCCGTTTTAGGATACAGACAGTTGAAGATGACAGTTTACGACATCACAATGCGTAATTGGGGTATGAGAATCACGAGTCCCCGTTCAGTCCCATGTTGAGTTCCATGATCAATGTTCATTGATGATTTCTTTTCGATTTCCCCGGTGGTGTTTGAGCGTTGATGGCTGCAGCGAAGCTCCAAGTGATCAATTTCCTCCTTTGCAGACAGTACATTTCGACTGGCAACTGCTTTGACTCTCAGGGTCCTTACATCTCTTCCTAATGTATCGCCTTTTCTGTCTACCAACAACTCATCATCAGTTCTACGAATTGAGGAGGGTTGCGTGGGAGATCGTTTTTTCTCTGTTAACACGAATATGTTAAACTTTCGTGAAGTGCTAGAGCGGCCTGTTCTTACCTTCAGCAATTACGCGGGATGAGTAAATTTCACTATTTTCTCATTGAAAGTTCAGCCTCGGACTTGCTTCACAGAGGCCTGTAATTAAGATTTTTCAACACCGAAGGTTTCCTTCGCACAGAAAGATGTTTGCGCTAGAGGTCGCCTACGGCACGTACAAAGTCAACTTTGAACCTTAACACCCGTCTGTTCCGCTACGTGTATATTTGACGTGAACCTCGCGCGCGCCAAGACCCTACGCGTTTCGTGCTGGCCAATAGCACACGCCCAAGGTCATAGTTCATTTTAGTGCGCGGCAAATCACGCAGTACGCCCTCGACTGCCGCAGAGCCAATCAGGCGGCCTCTCGCCCCCTCACATGTGCGTAAACAGGTGTTAATCGTCCGTGGCACGTCGCCCCCGTCCCGAATCAACTCCCGTGATAAGGCGCGCGTCGTCTGATTGCAAGTCAGAATTTTTTCTCAGCATTGTGCGATCTCTACGCGTCTGCTCTCGCCATGGACGTGACGGAAACGGTCGAAATTACATCTCCTGTCCTGCAAGTGAACGACACACAAACTTCCAAACTAGTGCCTCCCCAAGGCAGCGTAACAACTAGTGTCCCTTCAACCTTCCTACCCGACGATCTGGGTTCCACGACTCCAATGATGCCTACAGAGGATAGTGCGGTAACAGTCACCGAAACGGTCCCTGTCAGCACGATGGAAAGCCTGTCAACCGAAAGCGAGACAGTAGCCAGCATTCCTAATGTTACCAGCGAGATCCCCCGGGTGTCGGATATCGTTGTGACAATCCCATCTACCGAAGCGTATGTGAGTTCAGTTGCGACAGAAACAATCCCTTCCACGGAGGAGTTAGCTACTGCTCCGTTGAGTACCTCTGAGATTCCAGACACAAATATGTCTGCTATGCAAACGCCATCTGTGCCCACAGTTATATCGACGGCAATGCCTGAACTGATTGGCTCCACAGCGACAACAACAACGGCTGGCACAACAACCGATGTTCCAGAACCAGATCTCGCTATGACCACTGACACTGCAGTTCCGGTGATTTCCACGGGGCCTCAGACTGGGCAGACCGACCCCCCTACTGTGACAACGGCTTCGACTCCAAGACTGGAGGTTTCAACTTTGCCACCATCAGTTATAATCTCCGAGTCCGGCGGCACTACGTTCCCAGTCGATCCATTTAACACTACAAGGAGTCCAGATGTGGCTGGGGCGACAACTCCGAAGTCCACTTCACCGGGTCTACCGGGCTACGTCCTGTTGGGGTCCGCCGGTATGCCGGATTGGCGTCTCTACCTGATTATGGTTTCTGTCATTGCCTTGGCGCTAATCATGATCATGCTCATTGGCTGGATCATCACCTGCGTCTGTATGAGGGTAAGTTCTAGCTGTCTATTTTATTACTACATTTCACATTCTGGGTATATCAAAGTATCAGCAATCGGGGGCGGTGCGGAGTGAGTAGTCTCGAACGCATATTACACATTACTACTTACTGATAAGAAATGCTGGTTATAGAAGAGGACGGTGATGCAGTGGCTGTAATTTTTATTACCTTCAATTTCGGATTCCGGTTCGAACTGATCATCAGAAAGATAATCACTGATAAGTGCAATAGACGCTAAAATAGTGCAGTATTTAACTCACGCAGAGGCGATGCAACCACAGATTTCCTGGTAAGGACACTGGGAAAGGAAAGCCACGACCAAGTAATATAGACGTTTCTGTTCATGATATCATGAAGGTTGAATGTCCCTGAGTCCAAAGCCCTAAAGCTAACCTATATTTTAGCTCCAACCTGACTACTAACTCTGCCCTAAACCCTAGCCATACAGCGCACACTATACCTAATCTGCACTCTAAATTTTACGGCAATCGTAACCTTAGCCTAAGCCTACCTTTAGTATTCCTGGAACTCGACGCAACGCCAAGTGTATCGCGGACGGTTCCTGTACTCATTACCTATATTACGGGATCATTAAAGTCATCCTTGTGTTTCTTTTCAAATTATACATGCAACGCTCCCATTGCATTCCGCAAATACTACTTATATTCCACAAAAGTAGGATATGAGAACAGAAAAGGCTCGCACGAAGACTGTCCCGCTGTTACTTAACCTCACCCTGAGCCCTAACTGTAGCTCCTACCCTAATAGCAAGTAGGATCCTACGGGAGTTCTACGGGAATCCTACAAGTCTACATTGTAGGATCCTACGGGAGCTCCACATGAAACAACATGTAGGATCCTACGGGAATCCTACATTGGGTCTACATGTAGACCCAAAATTTTCCGCCGGACAGGGGTTACCTCCTTCATCGCAAAACCCCCCCTTTTTTTCGAAACGCGATAATAGACAGGTTTTAGAAGACATTTAATAGTAGGAAACTGTATTACACATATAAAAAAGGTTGAGAAAATATAATTGTACAAAAAAGAAGTCTTTGGAGCCTGAGTCAACTTTAAACATTGATTGTTGTACCGTTTAGAATTCGTTGTGAATAAAACGTTGTGCCTCCGAATGATTGTCGATAATGAGCTTTTGTGTCTGCGCCATGAAGTCCGGAGACAAT